CCTGTAACCTTTTTTTCTGATTAAAAAATCCTTCTGTGGTTCATTATTTAAAGAAAACCAGATAAAAATACAAAGAAAAATGAAGTTGCCAATCATCTCATCCTCCAGGGATGACATCCTCTGACCCATTTAGCCATGTGCCATACGATTCTACAGCCCCAGGGACATACTTGGTGCTCAGCAAATGTTTATAAACCCACAGACCTTTTCCTATACTTCCAATAATCACCATTTTATATTTTACCCTGTTCATTCATTCAACAAATACTTATTGAGCTTCTGCAAGGGTTTGGGTGGTAAACACATTAAGCTGAAATAGTTTTCAATTAAGTTTGAGCAAATTCTTTTATGGATTTGCGTTAAAATGTTCGTTTGTTCATATTAATATAATTCGGATTTAAATAGTTACAATTAAATTTATTTTTAGGAAATTTTCTTCACATATTAATTTTATTTATTTATTTTTGAGATGGAGTCTCACTCTGTTGGCAGCTGGAGTGCAGTGGTGCGATCTCAGCTCACTGCAACCTCTGCCTCATGGGTTCAAGCGATTCTCCTGCCTCAGCCTCCCGAGTAGCTGGGACTACAGGTGCACGCCACCATGCCCAGCTAATTATTTTTGTATTTTTAGTAGAGACGGGGTTTCACCATGTTGGCCAGGATGTTGTCGATCTCATGACCTTGTGGTCTGCCTGCCTTAGCCTCCCAAAGTGCTGGGATTACAGGCATGAGCCACTGTGCCTGGCCCACATGTTAATTTTATTTAGAAAAACCTTTGAACTGGGCCAGGTGCGGGGGCTCATGCCTATAATCCCAGCACTTTGAGAGGCCAAGGTGGGCAGATCACATGCAGTCAGGAGTTTGAGACCAGCCTAGTCAACATAGTGAAACCCCATCTCTACTAAAAATACAAAAATTATCAGGGCGTGGTGGCAGTCACCTGCAATCCCAGCTACTTGGGAGGCTAAGGCAAGAAGAATCACTTGAACCCAGGAGGCGGAGGTTGCAGTGAGGCAAGATCATGCCACTGCATCCAGCCTGGGCAAAAGAACAAGACTCCATCTCAAAACAAACAAACAAACAAACAACAACAAAAACTTGGATGTGACTGTAGTGCTCAGTAAACTCCGTCTACCTTAAACCTACTAAATGAGCTGTTTAAATTACTGT